TCAAGGGTTTTAAGCTCGATTTAGTCTGGTTCAATGGGTTTTAGGCCTAGTTCAAGGGTATTTAGGCCTGGTTCAGTCCAATTTTGAGGGTTTTTGGCCTAGTTCGATTTGGTTCCAAAGGATTCTAGTCTGATTCAACCGATCCTAAGATGTTTTGGTTCTGTTTGACTTAGTTCAATGGTGTTCAAGGCCAGTTTGGGTTGATCGGGGATATTTGTGTTAGCCCAATGTTTCATATTAATTTTGTTAATAAAAAATAAATTAAAATTGTTATATATATATATTTATAATGGACAATATAGACAAATTTATATTATTAAGTTTATTGTTTGGTTACATACACTACATGTACTAGAATGTGAAACTATTAAATTAGATGTGTAGTAAATTGATTATATTTTATTATACAAAAGTCAAAAAATAATAAAGTTAATTTTATATGAAATTAGACTCAAATAACTTTATCTTAATAAATAATTTGTTATATATATTATTTTACATTAAAGCAGTTTATTATATCAATATCATATATCATTCTCTAAAAAAGTCATTTTTGAAATTTACAAGATATAAGTTTTAAATAGTAAAACATAATTTATATTATAAATAAAATTCTAAGTTAAATTTATTTGTAAACTAGACATGTTGAACTTTAAATGTATATATTATATGCACATTTACATTTATAGATTGATAGATATAATGTTTTAAAGTGAGCCATTCTGCTAGGTCACACTATCAGCAAATAAAATAAGTATAACATAGTTTTTTTTATCATATCTAAAAATATAAAAATTAAATTTCTACAAATCTAATTTTGAATAAAATTAGACGTTGTAAGTTTTTCAAAAAAAATAATTTATTATTTTTGAGGACAAATTCAAATTTTTAAACAATTTTAAACTTGACCAACAATTTTTGTCAAAAATAATTTTACACTCTAGCATGTCATTGAAGATTATTTCTCTCAAACAGTGATAATAATTCAATAGTTCTTTTTCTGTTTGAAAGTACACTCATCGTGGAGTATCTAGAATTTTTTGAAGGATTTTTTAAACATTGAAAGTATTTGTTTTGAATTTTCAAACTAAGCATATGTGCTGTTACTATTGACAAATGATTTTGTCTTCCATGAAGACCAACATCTCTCCAATGTCTCTTTGGTGTTTTTGCCTACAAAAGAAGCATAGGTTGAAGGGAGAATGATACAAGAACAAGTTCTCAAAACCTCCTCAATCTCTCTGTAAAATTCTTTGTGTTATATTATTTATTACTAGATCAAAGAGTGCATAGAGCAAATTGTTTTATTCTTGAGAGTGCCTCTTTGAAATGAGATTATTTTTTGTACATGAGTAATAGCTAATCCTACTTAAGAGTAATTGCTATATTTTTACTTTATCTTCATTAGCATTCATATTGGTATTTAAAACTCACTAAATCAAATGTTTTGTTATCAGATTTCTTGCCTTTGCCAAGTGCAAAGAATTTTGTTTGTACTCGGGATTTCTAGCCTCTATCAAGTGTAAGAGATTAATAGAACCTCGATTGGTTAATGTTCGATGGAGTGGACATAGACTTGGGTATAAAGTGGAACTACTATAAAAGAGTTGTCATCTCTTATCCCTACTCTCTTTACTTTACTTAAAATTATTTTATATTTATTGTTTGATGAATTGTATAAGTTTATTTGACTCAATATTTTTATTATTATTTTTAATTTTTCACACGCTTAACTTCCATAAAAAATATTCAATTCACCCTCCTCTTGAGTTGTCTTTTGGGACAACAATTTGATACCGATTCACTTCGGTTTAAAGGTTTTTATGCAAGATTAGTTCATGTGTTTGTGTTGCTTTAGGTTCATGTGTTAAATAATGACCCTCGAAATATGTGCTAAGAGTTTGGGAGGGAACTGAGGATTGGTTTAATGAATCGAGTCTTTAAATAATTTCATTTTTTGATCTAGTTTTGATTAAATACATATCACTGTGGTTGCAAATACCCTGAGAAGACACATTTCGATATCTGAGGATAACCGGAAATTTGGGTTCTGGCCAGTTTTTTACATTGAGTAATAATACTTTCTCTATGCATGTATTTAATTCTGATTATTATTTATTTGTTTGAAATGTGTGACTAGTTTTGGAAATTAAATTATGGGACAGGTATTCGGTTTGTTTAAAAATATTCAGTGAGCTTTTGAATTCCTTGATTTGCTACTATGCTTTTATTTTATGTATATATATGTTTTCTGAAAATTTTATGGTGGGAGTTGTTTCGAGTTCAGTTTAGATGGACGCGTTGTTTTCGAGCACTATATGCCTTATGTGTATTCTAATTTGATTTGGCTCTGGCTTTGATTCTGGTTCTGATTCAGTATGAGATCTCAATATACAACATGTGGTATTTGATATGTGTGATATGTGATATATGTTGTCTCTGACACGACACGCTCTGTCGTGAGATGTGATTCTAGTTTCGGTTCTGGTTCTCTAATACTCCCATATTTTTTTGAATATGTGAAGCATATATATTTTATGTATGTAGGTATAAAATATATGTATATGTATATGTATATATGGATGCATGTATATATGTATGCATAGATACATATACATATGTACGCAAGTACAAAATATGTATGTGTGTATGTATATATTTATCATATATACATATATGTATATGCATGTAGGTATAAAATATGTATGTGTATATACATATATTTGTATACATATGCATGAATGTATAAAATATTTATGTGTGTGTATGTATATATGTATGCATGTAGACATATAGATATGTACGTATAGAATATGTATGCATGCATACATACATACATATATACATATACATATGCATGAATGTACAAAATCTGTGTGTGTGTGTGTGTGTATAATGAATAAAAAATGTATGCATATATACAAACACTTTTGTATATAAGTATAAAATATGTATGTGTGTGTCTCTGTATATATGTTTGCATATATGCATATATATATATATATATGTATGTATAAAATATGTATACAAATATACTTATATGTATATATAGTTATTTATTTATTTATATACATATATATATAATTTTTGTATATGGGAAACTATTTTTAAAATTTTGGTATGACTTTAAATGGTTTGGCTCATTTTTTGAATCAAAGTAAACCATAATTTTTATAATACTTTTTAAATCAAATCAAACAAAACTAATTTATTAAAATATATAAATTTATCTTTTCGAAATAATATTTTTAAAATAAATATTATGAAAATGTTTTAAAAATTTATTTTTCCAACATTCAATCCATTGAAAACATATGAAAAAAGAGAAAAATCCATTGAAAACAAATATTAAAATATTTTTTCAATTCATTTTTTTGTTAGTTAAATCTGTCAAAAAATATAAAAATTAAAAAATATTTTGTTTCTGACAAATATTTCCGTCAGAAAGAAATATTAAATTATTTTTTAAATTTGTTTTTCTAATGCTTCAATCCATGAAAAAATATAAAACATTTGAAAAAAATTGTTTCTAACAAATATTAAAATAATTTTTTGAACCCATTTTTCTAGTGACTCTAGTTGAGAGAAAAATGTAAAAAAAATTTTAAAAAAATTTAGTTCCGACGAATTATTCCATTGGAAACAAATATTAAAATAATTTGTTTGAATTCATTTTTCCGACAGTTTCATCCACTGGAAAAATGTAAATGAATTTGAAAAATATTTGTTTCTAATGGATATTTGCATAGGAAACAAATATTAAAATATTATTTTAAAAAATCTTTCCAACGATTTCTTCTGTTGGAAAAATATTCTTTTCTTTTTTTTTTTGACAGACTTTGCCATCACAAAAAATTTTATTCCGAATTATATATTTATATTCCTTATTTTTTAACAAAACTTTCTTCAAAAATTATTTTTTAAATAATAAAAAAACCTTACTTTTTTTGACAAAAATGTTTTACCAGAAATATATAAATTAATTTTAATATTATTTTCCGATGGATATATTTCTATTGTAAAACATTTAAATTTTTTTAAAAATTAAAACCATTTTTAACGAAATGTTTCAGTTGAAAATTCGTCAAAAATATTTTTTATATTGGACTTTTAACCTTTCTGTTGGATTTTTTCACTGAAAATATTTTTCGTCAAAATATTCTACGGAAAAGTGTTGACTTTTGCATTTGTCAGTAATTTTTTGTTAGTAATTCACCTATTTCTTGTACTGTAATGCATTATAAGTTTTTAGCATATGAATTTCTAAAGTCTCAGCTATTTGAATGAGAAAACTAATAAATAAACCCAACTAAATTTGAAGTCCAATTGGGATATTTAACTTATTAGTCATTTTCTTACAAGAAAAATAAGATATTATCATATTCTCACCATGATTGATGGGTTTTCGGACGGCTAGTGTTATCTATAGTTGATTCCAGAAAAACATCAACAAAAGAAATAGTAATTAAAAATAAAGAAATTGGTGGTTGGAGGGGATTCTATGAATTTTGTTGTCATTATCTAAGAAAATACCCATAATCCACAAAATAAAAGGACAATTTGGGGCATGATTCAAGCTTTTCTAATGCTCTATGAATGACAAATTATAATGTCATTTGATTTTGGGATTTCAACACCTTCATAATGCCAAAATCTTTTAAATCAATTGATTTTGATATAACAATATGACTATTTTTTTCTCGTAATAATGCATTTATTCAATTAACAAACCTAGCACACAAAAATAAAATCTAATTATTCAAGCATTAAAACAGTACGTGCCAAATCAGGGATAGGAAATCTAAAGTAAAAGCCACACACGTCATATCCAAGCATACATGTTTTCCAAGCACGACATGACAACAAATACAACAAAACTCACTTATACGGGAATTGGATTAAGGTACAACAGCTCCATTTCGTCTTTAGTATTTGTTGATGAGTAAATGCTTCCCCATCCTTGTAAAGAACATTCACTGATCGCATAATATTTAGGATTCTCATAAGCAGATGCATGGAGACCATGTTGGCCTAAGGATTTCTTCATTAATATCCTTCCATCCATCATCTATCCTTCTATTTATTTCGTCAATGGCATCCTGCTTTGAAAGGCTAAACTCCTTCATATAGCATTCAAGCGCACCAGCAATATGTCCCCTTTCTTGCTCTCTCTGCACATATGAAATGGTTTGAACCAATCAAGAAACTTGAAAGAATCATATGTATAAGTTTCGTAAACATTGCACTTAAATAGTATCAATTTATATGATACCTCACTGCTTGCTAAGTCATTGATGAGGCGACCAACTATGGCACAAGCAACCGCGATTCTTGGATTAGCATGCAGCCAGTCAAATGCATCGACTTTTGCAAATTCTCCAATGCCTACAAATGAAGCAAGGAGCAAGGTGCCCGTGCTGGTTGCTATCCCATTGGCAAAGTACTCTTCCATTGTTGGCGCATAGCCATCCTCGACCCATTTGATCTCCAGCTCATAAGCTCTAGCTAGATCTTTGAACTGATAATATACACACAAAAATCATGTTAGTAAACTACCAAACTTTGGGAATAAACTTGATTAGGTTCCTCTCTAGTCATGCTAGATAACTGAAGATCTCCTAAATCTGTAAGTAGAGAGAGGGAGAGAGTTGAATGTTTCATACTCTTTGTCTTAAACGGTCAACACAATAAGACCTTCCTTGTGTAGCCAGTGGAACCTCTAACTCCCCGTGCAAATTGGCAAGCGCCCAAATACTAAAGTCAAATATTCTGAAAGATCAATAGCGTCCCACCTACATACGGATTTATATATGAGTAAAATATAGAACATATGCCCCAAAATTTATTAAACTTAACTTATTTTTCTTAGATATATGGTAAATTTATTATATTTTTCAAAGAGTAATTATATGTATAATTAATAATTTAAGACTTGGTAATTATGTGACAACATACCTCTCTACGCATTAGTAAATTGTTTCAATTCTTCAAATGTACCATATGCATCATAGGTATCATCTAGAAGCGTCATCACCATGATTACTTTAGCTAGAATTACCCGTGCAAATGAGTAATGCGGCTCAAAATAGGCAAATGAACTCCAAAAATAACACTCAGTTGGCCTATTTCTTGCATAAGGAAGTTTAGTAGGAATTTCCATTTCATTCCACCACCTACATAGCACAACAAAGCAAACGTCAAACATGTTAAGTTAATATATATATATGCACTATCACTCAGTCTTTGTTAATTTCTAACCTTGAGACATCACAAATTTCTTGTTTGTGCAATAGCTGCAGTAGATTGTAATCCACCTTGGCAAACCTGAGTAATAGTTCATCCCTTGAAGGATCCTTTTCGTAGAATGATATGTAGTGTCGTGCTTCCAATCTAGGCATGCTCCTATGGAGGCAACGATGCAAAGCACGTTTTACTTGGTTTGCAAGGTTAGGGTTTAAACTTGGTAGCATCAAAGGAGGTGGGTTTTGCAAAAAGCAAGAGCTTCATCTAGAATATCTTCTCCGTGTGCCCCTACATATGCTGCTTCATACAAGCTCAGCATTCCTGTCACATCCTGAATTAAGGACTCCTTGAATTTCCCGTCCATGTCTTTAAATTTGTTGAATACACCTGATTCATCCATGTTAGACATATTGAGTCATATGAGATTAAATACATATTCAATCATTTTAATCTTAGCTCAGACCTATAATATAAGTACAAGATGCATGTATGTATGCAAGATGAGGGGTTTACCAAAAGGTATTTTGTACCCATGTTGTCTGAATACACGAAACTGAACTGAAGTAGTGAACAAATCGAGTCATCAATACTGTCGTCTTGAAAATTAGCAAACACTAATTGAAGAAGCTCTTCAATCTCCTCTTCAAAATGATAAGATACACCAAGACGTTCAAGTGTGTTGATAAGAAGAATTTTCTCCGCCGATTTTTTTACCACTGCTTGCTAGCAATACCTTCCTCACTTGTCCTTTCAACATTTCAACCTCCTTGGCATATGCTTTGCATTGCTACCCAAAGAAATTCAAATACAAGGTTAACAAAAAGGGAAAAATTATATTTCCGGTCTTAGTATTCACATAAAAATGCCATTTTAGGCCCTGTAGTTTTATTTATAAGGTATTTAGTGTTCAAATTTATCAATTGCCACACTTTTGGTCCCAGATTAATGTTTTATATGAACAAAGCCAACTGCTATACAATGAAAATCTAATATCTACAAATGCGAGGAATTGAAAAAGGTCTCTAAATTTTAGTCAAATAATAATAGTTTTTTAGCACATCTTTGGCTATAATGAGTCCAAATATCAGAGTTAGCAAGTTCTTTCGATATAAAAAATTGAAATTTTCATGTGTAAAACTAATAAGAGACCAATCTTAATATATTTCTAAAATTTGAAGCTAAATCTATTGCAATTAAATTTTTTTTTATGAGAAAAACCCTGAATGAAATTTTAGAAGCTAATATATGCTTTTTCATATATAAATAAATATATATAAGCAAAAATAGCTAGGGATGTTCATATTCATTTTTGTCGCTCTCTATTCGTCTAAAGTTGATTTTGATACACTGTTCATGTAAACCATAATTTTGGCGTTGTGTTTTATGTGCGACTTCTGACTCTTTGGTCCTCTATGGGAAGAGTTTGCAAGATCAATGGCAGGCATGCTTAATTAGACTTTTCTATTGGATTTATCTAGTTTGTTCTATTTCAAACAATATATAGTTAGATAATTGCAAAACTCTAGTAGTAATTCTCACTTGTCAATTAGGATAATGTCCTTTGGCTGATGGTGCGTGATTTAATGGGAATATTGGTATTTGCATTAAGATTTGATTGGATGAACTTTAAAGCTATATTGTGTTGTCTTTTTAACTTCCTTATTACAGCACTATTATTGAACAATATTTCATATTTGCACCTGAAGTAGCGAATTTGTTTTGTATTACATAAATTGTTATTTATTTTGGCTTAGAAGTTATTCTTAGCCTAAATTCATCAAATGCCTTGATAATATAATATAATATAAGTATAAAAATGTATTGTACCACATCAATACTAGAAGATACCGAAAATAACAGTGCCAGTATATATCAAAAAGTTACCTCTTTATCCAATGTAAATGAGATGAAAGTATCACCCCATAAGTTTGGTGAAAAGTTGGCTAAACGGCGAACAATCCCTCCGTTAGAAGCCATATAACTCTAGCACAAAATAATAACTTATGTGATTGTGCACGAGAAAAGGTAAATATTGAAAAATGAGGTTGTAGGTGTAGTATATATATTAGGGCAAGACACACAGACAAACTTGAGTTAGGTGGGATCTTCTAATCCGTTGGTCTTGCCAAAATAGGAGACTTGACAGCAGACATGGCTGTTGCTCTGCTGCCCCATGTTACAGTGACAGGCCGAAGTCTAGCCTTGCTGTCACATCTATCACATTGTTCAGCAGCCAAGTCTTGGTGCTCTGTGTTGTCACGGCAACAAAGTCTTATTGTCACATTTATTTTTCAAAATAATAATTCGATATTATAATTATTTTAAAAGAAATTTTTTTTATTGGGAATATGAATTAATATCAAATTAATAAATTATCTTAATTAAATAAAAATTGAAACCATCAAAGCATTATAAAAAAACCTTGTGTTTCTTTTTACAATAATTAACAATAAAAAGTAATATATAAATGTTAAATAATACCTACTGTCCAATCCAACTAAAAACAAAATAATCTTACATGTAATTTTTATGTGACCCATAAGCTATAAACAAAATATATAAAAATCTTTTCAAGAAAATATATGCATTAAAATATCAAACTATTATTGTGAATGAAGAAATAAAATTATTCAAAAAAATAAAATAAAAAATAAAATCAATAAATTAAAAAAAAAAAAAAACAATGAGTATGAAGAACGGAAATAAATGAAGAACGGGAATAGAAGATATAAGGAAAAGGATTGTTAGACCTCGCCCTTCAACTCCTCGCGTGAGTGTATACAGGTGGCAATATAAGAGATGTGGCAGGAAGGAGTAGGCAGCAGCCTACATTTTTCTCTTTTCTTGTTTGTTTATGCACAAGTCTTTTCTCTTTTTTTTTTTTTATTTTTACAATAACGTTTTCCTTCTTTTCCCATCATAATGGCACAACCACATACTTAGTCAAGCCACGAATGCCCCACTCCCCTGTATCACTCTGACTCTATGCCAAGACAAAAGCACAAATGAGTATGCTTGAATCTGCGTTTTCCGTTTTGGTTTTATTCTTTTTAAAAACTAAAATGCTGTAAATATAAAAAAAAATGTATTATTTTTATTTCAATTAAAGCATTTTTGAAAAAACAAATGAAACAAATTTTTGTTGTTTTTTAAATCTTGATTAATTTCTAAACTTTCTCTTAAAAATAGTTTCTGAGAAACAAAAAATTATATTCAAAAAGAAATCAAAACTTAATAAATTTCTTAAAGACTTAGAAAAAACAAAAGTAATGTATAATGAAATTCTAAAATTTATACAACTATACATACCTCAAATTAGGATGTTTCAAACTGTTTCACTAAATACATTGATTTGAAAATGCTTACAGTTGAAATAGTCTTATTTTTTCACAACTTAAATGTAAAATTCTGTATCGGGCAGCTCATCAAAAATTCTGTTAGAAAATTTACTCCGTCAGAAATTTTCTGTCAAAATTTTTTTGACATATTTTTCCATCGAAAATTTTTTGACGAACTAAATTTTTTATCAAAAATCGTTTTCGACAGCCTTATTTCTAATGGTATATTTTCCCATTAGAAACAAACCTTTTCGAAGAAAATTATTATTTTTTCGACGGAAACCATCCGTCAAAAATGGCCTATTTTCTTGTAGTGCTCCATCCACCTCTGTTACCTGAGATTCAGATCCTTCTACTTGAATATGTACTTTTAAACTCTTGTGATTTGTATAAATCTCACACAACTCGCCATACAAATAATGTCTCAATATTTTCAATGCAAACACCACTACCGCAAGCTCCAAGTCATGGGTAGGACATTTTTATCCATGTCTCTTAAGTTGCCTAGAAGCATAAGCTATCACTTGTCCATACGACATCAAGACACATCCCTATCCTACCCGAGAGGCATCACAACAAACTGAAAATCTATCAAACCCAGTGGTAAAGGTAACACGATGTCAAGGTCAAATAGTTTGCAAGCTTCTGGGAGCTCTCATCGCATGCATTAGACCACTAAAACTTAACCCCCTTCTAGATTAATCTAGTCAACGATGTGGCTATTCTCAAGAAATCCTGCACAAAATGTTGGTAATAACTGCTAAATCCAGGAAAGTGCGAATCTCTGTGATAGAAAAAGGCCTCAGCCACTGTAATTGTCACAGTCCAAACCTCGGGCCTGTGACCGGCACCAAGGTCCCCAACCCTAGTCAGCCTCACAACAACAAAATCATACTAAAAACTGACCAAAACATGAATAAACATCTCAAAATGTTCAAATACACAACTAGGATCCTATTTGAGTAATAAAGGGAGCACTAGAATACAAAAACAAATAAACAAAAAACTCGCCCGCACATCGATCGACTAGTGAAGCGTGGCTCTGAACATTGCTAACTGGTCTACAAATGGTCACGATCGATCTGTAATGATGAAAAGGTATGAGTCACGAAAATTAGTGAGTAAGGATGATACCTAGTCTATGCATGCTAGAATATACATTGTGCCACATGTTCAAAATCATGCATATATATACATACGCATAATGAGCAATATCAGTATCAACACATACATATGTGGGAGTATGATAATCACTGAGACTCCCACCTCGATCAAAGGAATCCTCTATCTCACGATCAAATCCAACATAATCACATACCACACGCTCAGAGCCACATGCCCACCAAGGGGATCACTAACACGCTCCCAGTTGAGAAGCATCCTCCATCTCACCACTGGAGCAACACGCCCACCAAGGGTAATCATACCACGCTCCCGGTTGAGAGGCATCCTCCATCTCATGACCGCAGCAAAACGATCTCAGTGCATCATCGACTCCCTACATATCCAATCAACAAATATACAAACATATACAATCCACAAATCTCAAAGCAGTATCGCATACCAACATGTATAAGTCCAAAGTATATGCATGTACCATAGATCAAGACTAGCATAACATACAAATGTAGCTCACTATACAACAGTAAAAACACATAACACATATCATGAGGTTCATGTAACGAATACAGTTCCCAAAATCCATGCAGTCATCATGCTAGAAAAACAGGTGTGAAAATACATGTATAGAGAGGGTATCATCACTCACAATACAAGCTAAGTCAAAACGGAGTCTCGGGTCGCACAACTAACTCAATGGTCTAGATACTCCGCCGGTGGATTTGAAATCAAAACTACACAAAACTATCATCAACACCAAAACCAGCACAAGAAACGGGCTTAACAGCCCACAACCGGCTCAAATCTCATCCCCCGCCCTAACACATATCTCGAGGCACCATTACCCACTATCAGGACCCACATGACTCACTAACACTCAACACTTCGGCTCAACAATCCTAAACAATAAAGAACCAACTTCCACAATTCCCAAACCATAAAGAACCAGCCTCCAAAATCCTCAGACTGACCTAACGTGACTTAAAATTATCTCAAACTCAACTAGATCGGCCACGAAACTCTCAAAATCAGATTTAGGAGGTCTCAAAACCCTAGAAACCGGTCTGAACCAGCTAAAAAGGTTCTAAATCGACCCTAAACTGGGTCAAGGACCCTCATCCTAAGCACTAACACATGAACTGAGCCCGGTTCACCTTGAGCCAGTCACCAAAAATCACCAAACTGCATGGCTAGCTACGTTTCAACAACATATTAAACCAGGGACCAGTTTAACTTCTCCAAGAACTAGTCTAAAAATTGGTGAATCGACTGCCCGAAGGGCGCCACACTAAACCAGCTGGTTCACCTTGAATCGACTATCCAAAATTTTTCGAAACCATCTAGTCTGATAAACCTCATCTCAATGGACTAGGAACCAGTCCAATTGCTCAAAAAATTAGCCTAAAAAGCCTCGAATCGGCCGGTCGAACCTTCAGTTAAACTTGACCGGTTCACTTGCCCAAAACCCTAACCCTAAATATTTAATTAATAAATTTCAGTTTAGTCAATCTCTACTATCCCAAACTTTTCCCATCCCGACTGGCCTATCCTTGGGGATAGCATAGCCTTATTCCTTTCTGAGTCAACCCAGATGGGTTGACCCGTTTTTCAAAACATAGGGCCGAGTTGACTCTCTGAGTCAACTCAACTCAATTTCTCAGGCTTGTCGAGTCTAGGCCAACTTGCGGCCCAGACCGCGGATCCCCCTTCCCCCAGCCTAGCTGGGCCTGGCCCAAACCGACCCGACCTAGCCAGGACAAGACCTGGATCCTTCCGGGTCTTGCCTTCCTCACCCAGTAACCCGAGTCTTAGACTCGAGTGCTTGCAACAGCACCCAGCCGCCAAAAAACAATAAAAACCTGAAAAAAAAAAAAAAAAAAAAAAAAAAACTTACCTCA